TTTTAATGTGATGGTTTTATGCCGCTTGTGGAGGGATTTGTAATTCGGTCATGTCTTCTATTATGGCTGGAAGTATGTTCATCTCTGAGTAAGGTGCACTTGGTGGAGCTGCTTTTGTCTTTCAAACATATTTAGGAGTGAATACATTGAGCATAATAAATAGTTTGACATTATGTTAAATTAAATAAATAATTTAAAAAAAACGTCAATTGGGCATCACTGTACGGTAGTTGTAGGGGTCGAATGTACGTCAATATCTTAACATTGAGTATACGTAGGTCAATGTAATGATGTAAGTTACCCTGACACTCCTATGTCAGAATTTTCCACAATAAAATATACCAATATTTAGTAACCGATTCGTAACCATGAATTTGAAATTTGTAATTTAATTTTCACTGCGGAAATCCATTTTTTCTCGGGAGTGCTGCGGTGACGTTATACAAAAACACCAAAATTCAAGATTCATTCAAAATGATGAATACAATTTTACCATGAAAATTGTATACTTTATATAGGTAACTGACTTTTAAATATAACAAATACAAATTTAATATTTAAAAAATAATAAAAAATAACTAACACATATAAATTATTAAAATTTTATTGGCGATAAATTGATTATTTTTGTTTAAAATTATTATAAAAATATAATTAGTAAAATTGACTCATAAAAATGATAAATTAAAAAAATTAATCAATTTACTGTTTTTAAAATTTTAATAATTTATTTATGTTAATTATATTTAATTTAATTTTTATAATATTATTTTAGATTCTGAGCGGAGTGATGGATGTATTAATTTTACGATGATGTGTTTTTATATATTTTTTTTTTGTATCTGTCATCACGGTTTCTTGCAGTAAAAGTGCTTCGATTTTCTTAAGCAACAACTTTTCTGGTAAGAAAATGAATATAGTTGGTGCATTCAGGAGGTCAAAATTTAAATTCCCAATAGTTTTCAAAAGCAACAAGAAAAACAGACAAAAAATTAAGGAAAACCGAGAATTTTTAAGCGAAACCATTTTTTGAAAAAAATCGATTTTGATTTTTAGTGTAACTATAACAAAAATGGCCGTAGATACCTGAAATTTTAACTAAATATTTGTGTAAAAATTTTCTATACGCCATAAAATGTTCAAAATATTTTGATTTGTGTTGAACTATTTATAGGCATTTTAAATTTTCGATAATTATTTGTGTTTTTTAAATTCAAGTCGATAAAAAAATTTTCACTCTGTCAAAAGACTTAAAAATGTAATACAAGGTTCCTTGTATAAGTTGTTGTTAATGGAAATTTAAAAAATACTTTAGCGTAAATCCACAATAATTTTTTATGAGTGTATAAACTTAGAATTTTGACAAAATTCGTAAAAATCTCGAAAATTAGCAATTTGTATTTAGTTTGAAAATTCATAAAAAAATTTCTATTTATATCTAAAATTAAAAATTTAATACAAGATTTCTTACAAGTTTGTTGACCTTTATCAAAAAACAAAATATACATTTATTTTCCGTGGTTAAAAACAAGTTACGAATTCCGAATTTGTGGTTACGAATGGTTACGAATTGGTTACTAACTAATGATATAATTTACTGTGGAAAATTCTGTCATAGGGGTGCCAGGGTAATATACCTTGCAACTTGACCTTTCTGCCCGTCAAATTATGTGTTTGACTTGCTATTGATGTATATCTTTGACCGGTAGCATTGCGAGTTCTGTGACTAAGTTTGTTTAACATTTTAAGCGTAATTGCTTAAATTAACCATGATTAACAAACACTTATCTAAAAGCTCAGGGTTAAATTTGTCATTAATATTCCAATTGAATCGACTGTGAAATGTGCACTAAGAAATTATAAATTAAATATTTTATATCACAGATGGATCTGTATTAAACGATAAGTGATAAGAGTGATGCCTCAACTAAGGGAAATTGGGATTTATTTATATATATTATATATATATATATATATATGTCATATATGTATAGATATAATAGATATAGATAGATTGTAGAATTATACTTCTTGGAACAATTCATATCTACGAGCCGATCAAACATATAACTAGACGGACAAAAAGTTATGGTTGCAAGTCGGTATGAAAACCTGAGGGGCCAACGTGCTTTAAAATATGTATATAGATATACAATTTTTACCGATTTCAACCTTTTAAAATCAAAATCTTGTAAAGTCCTGTCTTAGTGGAACTTAAAATTATAGTATTGATCCATCCTCAAAATGTCAATTCGATAACTCATCTGACTGCGCTTTCTCAAAAACTATTCACTAATAAATCCAGTTACTTTAAGGAAAAGATGCCCAAACCAATAATCATGTGGTGGTTCACTAATGTGTCTGATTTTTATGTAAAAAGTGTAATAACCCTTCCAAGAATATAAATGGTGACCAATAGGGGCAAAGTGTACATTAGCACCAATTTTATTTTAAGTTGATTTTTAAATATTTTTAGTAGGTATTTCAAAAAAATGTAATGTGCTCATGTGTTTTATTTCAAAAAATATCAAAACAATATTCTCTATGGCAAAATAGATCTTTTCTGTCATAATATAAATTTTAATTTATATTTTTTACTATACAACTCGTAAGAATGAGTGTGTGGTGGCCCGCTCTCAATAATAGCCAAAAGTGCATAGATTCTCAGTCTTGGCAATAATGCAATAATAAAAATGTTGGCCCAGACACTTCTTGGTAAATAACTGCTCAGCTTGTAGCACAGAACCGTAGCACAGTGAAATTTCCATATAACGAAGTCGAATAAGGAGAAAAAAATTCGTAATATGGAGGAATTCGTTAAATAGAATTACGTATATTTTTCAACTTTTTAAAAATTTTATTGTATGTATGTATATACTTCTATGTTGTATATGTTATGTAAAAAACAAGTACACACACATTTTCATTCGTTTTCTATTGCTAAGGAGAGAAGAATTTTGCATTTGCTTGAAAATGTTTTCACGGTTTTTCAAAATGGTTGATAGAAAACTTGTTGGAATACTATATTTTTCGGCAATATCTTTTTTTTTTGTTGACACCTTTGTCCTTTATCTACTTCGTTTAAAATTTCAAATTTATCGGCGATAGATAAACATTTGCGTTTCGACATTTTTTTGCACAGACGAAGAGAAAACGAAAAAAAATTCGTATGTACAATAGTACACCCCCCGTTTGCATCAATATCGGAACTGAAATACCTACTGCAGTAAAATTAATCAGTTTGCCTACCTTCGGATCTTATCTTTATCGGATACATTGTTCATGTACAATTTTAGAACTATGTTTAAAAATTGATAGTGACAACTGACAACATTTACAAAAACCAGTTTTTATTGAATAATTATTTCAAGAAACATTATTTCATAAAAACATCTGATTCGTTATTTGGAAATAAATTTACGTGCAATTAACATTGAAGGTCATGGTTCTCAAAAATAATTCGTTAAGTAGAAAATTTCGTTAAATGGATGTTCGTTATATGGAAGTTTCATTGTACATTAATTATGCTTTTAGACTAGTCCAGCGAGAAAAACCTGCCGTTTATAATGTCGCATAGTATTATGCACTTTGAGGCTTGAGCGGCTCCCTCCAAGATACCTACCCCATAGGTTTTTGGGACCTAATAATATTATCTACTAGCTATACATTTTGATAATAAGAAAGCTCATAAATAATGAAAGTGACATTATATTAAATAAATTATACAAATATCCTATAGCTTTTCTCGCCACTTACCCCCCCCCCCTTCACGAAAAAGGGGGTGTTACCCAATTGAGCAAAAAAAAAATGAAATTGTTTGTGGTACAGCCCATTTGCGCCAAATTTACCTGGTATAAATGTATATTTATAATCAATTAATATATTTTTTAGTATAAGTATACAATTTTCTTTAAATCATAATTAATTATTCGAATGTTTTTAAAATAATAATCAATAATAGCTGCGTAATACACATTTTTTTGAAACAATAATCAGAATTAATACAAATAGTTTTTAAAAAACTATAGGTAATAGATTATTACCAATTGTAACAAATAAATAATAATAGTTAATACTCTAATAGTAGGTAATTACATATTTTTTATTAATTTTAATAAACTAATATATTTTTTTTACAATCTTTTCTTTTTCAATAATAATTGATCATACTATTATTTTAATAAAATTATAGTCAGTAATATGAACGCATTAATTTTTTTGTTTTATAATTCTGAATTGCTTTTAAAGTGTTTTTTAATCTGGTTTTAACTTGTGCATTTTTTCGAGGGTTAGGTATATTTTTAACACAACTATTGATTTTAATATAAACATCTGTTTGAACTGTTTTATTTAAAATTTCTAAAAATATCCGAATGCGATTTATAAAATTGTTCATTGAAGTAAGAGTGAAATGATTCTCAGTTATTGGTGGTTCTAGTTAAATCAGCTATAAACGCTGCCCAAATGCTTGGAGTGAAATTGACATTTTCTCCGATGTAGTTATCTACAAATAATCAGAATATTCTCGGTATTTTGGATCATCAGGAATTTCAGACATAAAATCGTCAACCAAACAATCGGAAACTTCATTTGAATCGAGAAAAGTTAAACCAAATGTAAATGTTAACCACTTGTTATCCTTATTATTAGCTGAAGTTAACCCTCCTAGTCATTGAATTTTTCCGTTTGTTTGTCTTTCGACGCAAATAATATACAAAGCTTTAAAAGCTAGACTTATAAAAATAACTTTACTATACGTTACAGACATGACATAGAATATTAAAATCTAAACATACAATTATTATGACGCCTGAAACCCACACCATCACCCCGGCAGGCAGCATCAAATACCGGGTACTATTTCCCCGGGCCAGTATGCCTGTTAGTTTTTTGATACCATAGACCCCGGATAGCAGCACCCACCGGCCACCACTTGTCCTGGCTGGCTCTGCTTCCGAGTCCTGGGCATGGTCGGCATGGCGACGGTGCCGCCGACGTAAACAACAGCCAACGCCGCGCGACCCGCCCGAGCACACTACCCCGTACTTTCGCAACGAGCAACTCATGGAGAAAAAACAAACCGCGAGACGGAGAAAACTTAATCAAATTTCGACGAGACGTGATATACCTAGATAGATAGCTGCCGTGTGCTGGTGGTGGCAGACGGGCTGAGACGGTAGTCGTTTTATTGTCGAGTGAAAAGAAAAAAAAACACACATCAAACGGCGTTTCGGTGCACACCGTGTCCGCGGTACAGTAGAGGTACCCCTCGAACGCCGACCAGCATCTCCCAAAAACACTCCCCGTCCGGGCACTAATGGGTTCGTCTGCGGATTTCAAGAGTCTCGAAGATGAACTGATCGACAATGTAGAGAAGGACGTGCGTTACTGGCAACAGAACGACGCCAAGCTGAGGGCCGTGAAGAGCGTGTCTACTTATCAAGAGTTCAGGTGAGCTTCACCGTTCGCGGTGTAGTCCTTACACACACCAGACATAGATTTTCGACTCATGCCACCTTTTACAGTGACATTGTCAAGGCGGCTCATCTGCGTCCGTTGACCAAGAAAGAAATCGAGTGCAAGAGCAACCCACCGGCAGTGTGGAACAACGTAGTGGCAGCTCACAATATGCAAGACAGCAAGCAGCAGAGTTCTGATTTCACGGTGAGTACCTCTCCAACAACAATGTCAATCGGCGACTCCGTGCTATGTTACACGCGGACCGTTTTTTCCGTTAGGTCGCCGACGTCGACATCAAGGACAACATACCGAGTGCTTGCTCTCCCATAGTCCAAGAGTTCATCTTGAGTTTCCGCCGTCTCAGCACGGCCAAACACAGGTACAAGTACTTGAGTCTACATGGTGCTGAAAATGTGGCCTCCACGTTTCACACTGAAGAAATACCTCCATCTGTTCTGGTCGAACTGCTCGAAACACTACTCATATTCCCGTCTAACAGTGTTCCTGACATAGTCGCCGTCACCAGGCTATTAGACGTGATCACTGGAACGAAAAGGTATGCCTACCGCAGCTCGAACGTAATAATATTGTAGTACCTTTATTAATTTTCTTTCTTTTCGTTTAGATTCGAATTGGCCATTGAGTTTTTAAGTTCAACTGAGTTGGACACACTGTGTAATCTTTTCAACAAACTAGAGGAGAGTCTTAAGTCTGGTCAGCAAGATTTGGCAGAACAAGGAGTGACCGAATGGAGTTTGAGTACACTAAGGAGAAAATATAAAGTCTAAACATATTAAGATCATTCAGTATTAATAGTGAAAATATTCCTCATCCTCTATACCTTATATTTACCTACATATCACACAAATCCTTACACCTTTTTAAGTGTTTAGTGAGAGAATAAAATAACGACTGCTATGGTCACGTAATAGATGCAATGATTTCATTATAACATCCCATATTAATATCCCATCGCACGATGTGTGGCAATATATATTATTATTTATTTTATTTTTATTATGAAAGACTGATTATACTCCCAATATAATATTATAATTATACTGGTTATCATTATTTAATTTTGCTTTATAATATGTTAACAAAAATTTGTATTTGTTTTTTTTTATGTATTCATTATTACAGAAATATAATATTTAAGAACAAATAATGTCCTAGTTAATATTTAAATCCTCTAGTACCAATATTCTGAATCTGTTTTTATTATTTGAAACAAATGTGAATAAAGATGCATCCACACCTAGAATACATTTGTCGTAAACACGTTTCCCATAAAAATTTCTTTGGTCGAAACCAGGTTTAAGACCTATTTTATGATGCATTACATAATTGCTTATACTTTTTACTTTTGTGTTTCCATCACAAGTCCTCCCTTGGTCACAATTATCATAGTACTATTAAAAACTACTGTGTTTACTATGATAAGAGTATAGGTTATGCATGACGCATGGGTCTTGAGAATTGATGTTAAAAAGGTCAAAATTAATAATTGAAAAAAATAATTTTCTATGATATTTGTTATACATTTAACTCATTAAAAAATGTTCTCAGTTAATTTATATGTTACACTTATAATGTATTTATAATACTAGAATTACTTATAATACGTTTCACAAATACATAACATAAATCATTTAGGTTACAAAGCCTTAAATTTAATTTAATATTATTTACTCAAAAATTAAAAATATTTTAAGGGTAGTTGCACGATTAAAAATGGTGTCAATTTTACATGTATATAATATAAGTTGTATAAGTTAACAAGAAAATTTGATATGTCTATTAGTTAATCAAACTATAATGAAACCTAACTATAAATACAAAAGATATCAAACTGTTGTATATACATATACATTATACACATAAAGTTTGAACAAGAGAAGTTTAGTAACGGGTCTTATAAGAGTCCAAGCAAATTTTTAGAAGAAAAATATGATTATTCAATACCACTGTTGGGTATGTACGCCATTACATTACTCATTAGATATCACTATTCAATAATAAATTTATACATTATTATTATAAGAAAAAGATTCAAAACCAGAAATTTTCCATTTCTAACTATAATATAATAAATATATAGGCATCAAAATACATAATACTTGTAAATGGCAGTATTAGTAATATTATTACTCATTTATAATTATCCATGTTATTACATAACATATTTCTGGACTTTACATTATGTATCTTCCCTATTTTGATGATTTTATATTTTATATTTTGACTTTTTCTTAAATCCGATTATATTCTATGATCTTATTTTCAGTTATTCAGATATAATATATTATCATAATTATAGTATATTGATAGTTCTTACTCTATTAGCCTTAACTATAATTTTTTTTAATATTACTTTTTACCTAAATAAACAAATACAAAGAAAATATAATGAAAATTTTATTTTTGACTAAGAACATACATTTAACGAAATATGTTTTATATTTTAAATAAATAATGAGCATAACATATTATATACAGTCATACCGAATAAAGCATACATTAAAATGGTTATGGCAAATTTATTTAACGAGATCATGTCATAAAAATTGTTGATGGAATAAAAAATATATTTTAGTTTGTATCAGAATTATACGGAGAAGCTGTACTTGCGCTACCACTAGATGAACTATCTACAGTTTTTTGTTCCAGCTCTTTTTGCTTTTCTTCTAATATACCTGTAATTCATTGATAACAATAACATCAAGACACAAACTCTAAACTTGAAATTAACCAAAATAATAAAATTTTTACTTTTCTGGAAGTCTGAATATTGGACTTTAATCTTGGACTTGATCGTGGCTATCCTCTTAAATGTACTGTCCAAGTCTTTGCGTAACTCTGCTAACATTTGAGTGTGTTTCTTCAGTTCCTGGCTTGTGGTTTTCAGGTGACTCATGGACAACAAATTGCAGTTGGTAAGCATTTCGTTGGTTTTTTCAAAACGCTGCAACCTTAAATCAGAGATAAATACACACCCAAGCACTTAATCAGAAAAATTAATGAACCCTGGGGTTTCGATGCGGTGTTTACATTTCTTTTTGGGCAATGATCATGGACTCGACATCCTCTTGGTTTACGATGCCAGCGATGCCCTGTATGAACACCTCGGGCGCGGTGTAGTTCTGAAAGCACTCGATGCTCGGCGTTTCGTCTAATTCGCTAGTGGTTTCAGCCATAGCGGGTTCGGTAGTCGGGTGTCCGTATCGGACGAAAATATTTATATTTATTTATATTTATTATAGCTAAATAATAAAAATTTTACGCAGGGCAGTGAGTTGTAAGTTGTAACCATAGGTAGTATATACTATATATTTACTATTTAGTATACACTATTGCCATAAACTATTATTATCTATGGTTATGAGTTGTTATCACGGACTACTACTGTAGTTAGTAGTCCTATAGATTTGTGAGTAAGTTGTAGTCATGAATTAAGATATCTTAATTCATGGTTGTAGTCCATGGCTGTTATTAATTTTATTATCAATTTATTATCTACTTCAGTGTCTACATGACTACATCATAGAGTTATAATACATCAATAACATCCGTAGAGAAAATCGAAAATACAACATCTTTGGTTTCTTATCAACATTTTGAGGTTCTGATTTCTGAAAAGGTTTTGTACTTTTGTGTTTACTGTTCACTGTTCAGTATATATACCTAATAGTATATAATACTCATCGCGAACTACAATTTATAGTTCATCTTCATATATCCATTATAGAATAGAATATTGATAAATTGTTAAAGCAGGTCGTTGGGTTTTCAGTCGAGTAAGTAACTTCAATAGTTCTATGCAATAATAATAATGTTTTAACTTATTGTTCCGTTTTGTTTTATCAACAGCATTTTCAAATATGTCGCTGTCCAAAACGACAAACACGTATAACCGACAGAATTGGGAAGACTCCGTAAGTATCTCGTTCTCAAAATTTTTTAGATTTTACAACGAAATTTCAGCGTACTCAAATCATTGTTAATTTTTTTCGCGATCATCACCTTGATTGTTTCCAATGTCTAACAATATAAGTGGGTTCAATTTCAAAAAATCCATTTGAACCAGAACTAAATTTTAATTTTTACGATTTTGGAAGGTTTAAGATTTTTTCATAGTTATAATTTTTAACATATTACTGTCTTTTCATATTTTACGTTTACATAAGTGTAAAAAATTATTTTAGACAACTGCACTGTAGTTTTATCGAAGAGCTAAACATTACCTTGGACAGATTTATGTATTTTATCAATTTGTAGTTTGTTGTAAGAATTGAAATGTAATATAATATAATAATGTATATTGTGTGGGTGGTATTTCACAGCTTAGTATTTCTTCAAAGAGTCATTGTTGTAACTGCTTATTAGAAAAATACAGTAACTTATTGTTTAATATTTATAGATCTGTACAAAAATCACATACGAAAGTACTTATTATGTTATTGACAGTAGGTCTAAAAGTAAATGTTGCTTACGCAATTTTATGAATTGTCTGGCATTTACCAGACCAATATAATTTACTCTTGTTTTAATTTAATGAACTTGAACTAGTTAATTTTGTAAGTCGTGAACTAAAACTTCATAACATTTTACATCACTGAGTTCATTATGTGTTAAAAGTTAATAATGTGAGGATTGGGAGTAATTTATTACTCTCCGGGATTTAACATTTTCTTCTTTACCAACATTACTTTTGTTTAAAAATTTTTTTAATTATGTTGTACCTATGATAAATTTGAATATTGGCTTGTATCAAAATATTGCCTAATATTTTTAATTTTGTTGTAGGACTTTCCAATTGTTTGTGAAACATGTTTAGGTGATAGCCCTTACTTGCGAATGGTAAGTATATCTACTTAACATAATTTTTATAATTTATAACTTTCATCACTTAATTTTATTTTAGGCAAAAGAAAAATATGGTAAGGAATGTGAAGTTTGTGCGAGACCATTCACAGTATTCCGTTGGTGCCCTGGCGCTAGAATGCGTTTCAAGAAAACCGAAATATGTCAAACCTGTGCACGGCTAAGAAATGCTTGCCAGACATGTTTGTTGGATCTCGAATATGGACTTCCTTTACAAGTACATTTTTATTTTATTGATAAGTAACTAATTTGATATATTTAACAACTTGAAATTATTTTTAATTATAGGTTCGTGACGCTGCATTAAAAATTAAAGAACAAATTCCCAAATCTGATGTTAATAAAGAATATTTTGTTCAAAATATGGATTCTGAAGTGAGATAATTTTAATTTTTGGTTACCAAAAGTGTATGCCTGAATTCATTTTTGTATTATATTTAGCTAGCTAAAATGGATGAAGCTGGAGGAAAATGTCAGAATGCCAGTGATGTACTGGCTAAAATGGCTCGTAAAGCTCCTTATTATGAACGTAACCGACCACACATTTGTTCGTTTTGGGTGAAAGGTGAATGTCGACGAGGAGAAGAATGTCCATACCGTCATGAAAGGCCTACAGATCCAGAGGATCCACTATCGAATCAGAATTTCAAAGACAGGTATCTAATCATAAATAATTCCACTATATTTATTGTTAATTAGTCATAAATAATACTTGAATTTTCTTAAAATGTACTCAATTATGCGTGGAGTTTTACATTTTTAATTTTTATTCTTGGATTTTTTTGCAAGTTTTTGTATTGAAAATATTATCTATTTATGAGACTTATCGCATTGTAAGTTCCTCTGAAGTGTTTGTATTTTTTAAATGTTAGTAATCAATAATCTAGTAGTATGTAGAAAATACCTTTATGAGAGTGTCAACATAAATACTTATCATCATATTTATATTAGGTATTATGGTGTAAATGATCCTGTTGCCGAGAAAATGATGAACAGAGCCAGTGAAATGCCAAAATTGGAGAAACCAGAGGATCAAACAATCACAACACTTTATGTTGGCAACCTGAATGACATTACTACAGAAAAAGATTTGAGGTAAATATCATACTATATGCATAATTCAAGTTGCTACAGATTTTGTTTTATGTAACTTTCAGTGATGTATTTTATCAATATGGAGAAATCCGAAACATTACTCATGTAGCTCATCAGAATTGCGCATTCATTCAATACACTACACGAGCTGCAGCTGAAATGGGAGCTGAGAGTACTTATGGCCGTTTGACATTGGGTGGACATAAATTGAATGTACGTTGGGGTCATGCTCAAGCACGTAAAGATAAGGAAACTACTAGTATTGCGGCTATGAAAGAAACCAAAATGAAACCTTCGCCAGGATTACCTGCTCCATTACCACCATTGCCCACGGAATTACAAAACAATTTTTTCAACATTGCTCCTCAAACCGTGCCTGTTGTAGCTACACCTTTTATACCTGTCATGCCAGCATTACCTCATCCAAGTATGCAGTACATGTCAACACCTCTTTACCCTCCTGGTACAAGCAAATGATATATTTTTTAAAATAATATTAATTTTTTACATGTTTTTGCTCTATGATCTAAGTATAGCAGACAACTTCGATAACCAATCCCAATTATTATATAACTACATATAAATATCACATTTAGAAATAATTTCGACTTACCCATTTGCTGAAATAATAAAATACTTGAAAGACATTAATTCTGTAGTTTTTATTTTATATTTATTATTGTTTAGTTTATTTGTCTGTTTTGGGTGGAGCTTCAAAGATCATACCCAAATATAACCTGATTGAACTATCCTCTAATCCTATGTACATCAAAACTGTTATTGAGAAAATGTATTTAATATCTTGAGGATCATTATAAAATACTGTTTATTGGTTTAATTTAACATTTTACAATCTCTGTAATCTTCAATTAATATAAGCAGTATTGCGTTATTTAATACATCAGGTAATTCATTGGTTAATCTTTTTTTTGATTACATAATTGAACTCTTATCTAAAACAAATAAAATTTAATTGAGTGATTTTTATTCTATAAAAGTTATTTATATAAGTAGCTTTCATATTATTAAAGTAGTATATACTTTGATTTTCGTTTACAATAATCAAATTGAGTAAAACAATATCAGTGATATTAAAATATTAAAAAAATTGTAAATTTGTAAATTTTTAATAACTGAAATTCATTAATTTGATTAAAATGCTCGGGATAGGTTTTAAACAATAAGTGAATTGATTAAAAAAATAAAATACATAAAATCATGAAATATTGTTCAACAGTTTAATATAATAAATTAATAAAAAAAAAAATCCTAAATAAAAACATTCAAAAAAATATATATATAATATATTGAAAACAAAATATTTTACTTTAACAACAATAAAACCAGTAAAAATTGTTATTCAAAATGAACACATACAGATATAATATAGTACTTTACCTGTAAATAAACATACAGATTTTGTTATTGAAAAAAAATACAAAACACCAATATATTGTCATGACACCGTAATAATAACTAAATACCTACTTCACTCTTTTGAAGTGCTTGATATTTAAAGAACCCGTCACCGGGCAGAGGAGGCAAAAATGATGAACTATACCAGGCCCTGTATGTCACAAACCACGTTGACATTGCCACTATGCCAGCCAATAGTTTTTCGGGCATTGTGTGGAAATACATCATTGTTGTGATGAGCATTAGCTCCCAAATAGCAACAAAAATTGTGATTACTATGAATAAAACTTGAACATAAGGGGTCATTTTTTTGTAAACAGTTTTCATCTCTTGCAGTTCCTCTTCTTTCAGACTGCTAAATGTGGTAGCCACGCTTTTGCCTTCTTTGCGAGCATTCTCTTCATTTCTCAAGACATCTTGAATTTTATCCCAGCCAATGATCGGCCTCGCTTCACTAATCATCACCAGTGTACTATATATGAGTATGAAAACGTGACCAGATATGTCAAACGATTTCCACAGGTGGCCAGCAGACTTGCACGCTGATCGAGTCAGTCCTCTACCTCCCGAACACTTGCCGTAATAATCTTCGAGTCGATTGAAGGCGTTTGTCCAAAAGTACCAGAAAAATGTGGCTACCACCAGACGAGTGGCGTGCACGGTAATGGTCGGTCGCGAGTTGAGGCAGAACACCTTGCTGGTGGTCACCAGAAACGACAGCGTCCACAGCAACGTCCAAAACCAACCCAACTTGACCAGGTACTGGTTAAGGAACGTGTCGCTGTTGGCGAAGTAGATCTTCGGGAACCTGATGAAGTCGCCAACTACGGAGGCGACCAGCAGGATCAGGTACACGAACAGCCGTTTGTGCGTCGAGAAAAACAGGTATTTTCGGCACGCGAACAGCAACACCGTCAAGAATATGTTCGACACGGTCGTCGGGTCCCTGACCAGCAGTGTGCCTTTGGTCTCGGATCTCATGGCCAAGCCCGTGGGTATGTAATTCGACTCGATCGACCCGGACCGGGTGCTCCGCTTGGTTGTCATGTCTGCGGGGCGAAACGCTGAAATTGAATTCCGTTCGATTGCCGTGTGCACACGAGGACGACGTGCGAACGAAAGTTATTTTGATTCCGCCGAGTAATGATGCGTACAACCCGGTGACCGCGTCACATCATCGTCTCCGCACGTCCGACGGTTGATTATTGTAAAACCACTAAAACCTACTCGGTCAGAGGCACAGAAAACGGAAGATTACTTCTATGTAATAGGTACTTACGTCTTACTTTCACCTGTTTCGACGTCCATCATCGCCGTCGAGTGCATTTATTATAATTCATTCATTATTCGTGATAACAGTACTCGATTCTCGTCTTGTCACGGGTTTTATCAGAAGCCGAAAGTCCGTTTTTGTTTTTTTTTCATTTTTCCGTTGTTCCCCGTCGGAAAGATGATAATATTATCCGTCGTTTTTGTAACAACGTTTCTCGATTGACACCACGATCGACTCGAGAACACGAAAACCTCGAAGAAATTGAAAGTGCTGCAATGGACACTATTTACGAGTTGCGATGCACTGGCGCAAATAGCATTTCAAAATTGTATATGGCCTTTACGAAATTAATAATAGGACGTCTTATTTATTGGATGCTTATACACACATTGCAAGTGATATATATATATCATAAGTGTCAATACAACAATTTGGAAAAAATAAATATATTTATATTATATCTCTTGAAATATTTTGAATGACAAATCACAACATGTGTTTTTCATTTCATACTCCTAAACAGAATATTTTCGGATTATTTGGACACAAAAATTGAATTTCGTCGAGTATGGATAGTAGACTTTAATTAATTGGTAATACGAACTTTGAGAATTAATAATAGGGTACCTACCTACTAATAAACATTTTAATACGTGAAAAGTGGTACAACAGTGATGGTAACCACCGTATTACCGCAACCCTCACAACGTTGGTTCAATTCTTCAGTTATCTATAAGTCTTAATTAATATTAAATGATAATAAAAAAATAGTTAAAACGACGATTAATGTACCTATGTGTGCATAATATTGTAATAATTTGTATGATATTTAAAATTTAATTGAGCAGAGTAATAGAACAACGTTTTTTGCAGGGATACCCTGTACCTACCACTTAACTCAGCTCATCTATACTGGCTTGAAATTTGATTTCAAAATTTTCAGAAAAATATTTTGTTCGGAGTAGGTACGAATTTAAAATTTTACCTATGCATGTTGTCATTAAAAGAAATTATAAAGATAAAAAATAGTGAAGAAAACCGTTCATTCTAAAGAAATTGGTAAAAAGAATGAAAAATAATTCTGATTATAAATTAAAATAAATTATAACTCCTATTCCTATCTATAAAAATATTGTCAGAAACTTTAATAATTTTCAAGATAGGTACCTAGCAGACTTCCCTAATTTGTAGTGTTAACAAATGTAATTCAGTATGATTATACAATATACATAGTGTGTTACATACTGTATACATATTTTGTATAATATGATTTTATAACCGCAATACCGCATAGTCAGAAAATGTAAATATTCTTACTTATAGACTAGTAGGTACCTACTTTTATATATACTTACAATCAGGGTTGGGAAGCATCAAAAATACAATAAATTGGGTAGTTAATCTTGATACATAATTTGAAAGTGTCAAGTATCATGTACCATGATACATTTTATACTAGTATCATGTATATTATTTTGCAGCAAAAAGATACTATATTATTGTAAACATTTTTACTGAATAATAGTAACAAGAAATTTGATTTCGATCGTATAACATATCGTATTAATATTTATTTATGACACGAAGAGTTATGATTCATCATAATTTTATTTTGAGTATATTGGCGTCTTCCCCAACCCTGCTTACACAATCTTCATGCACGATGCTGACCCTTCTGCTGTAGGTGGTGTAAATAATGTTTTGCGCATTTTTCGTGCTATGATTTTGGAATGTGGATTATTGGATTACCTAGTATATTAGATTATATGATTAACATAATTAGTCAGGGTGATAAATATCAAGCATCTTTCCTTGAGTTCAATAATTTTTTTTTTTTTTGGCACAATTTATTTGGAGAAAAAATACTTGGTAAGTCTTAGTCGTATAGATATTTTATAAAAATTAATTTTCTATCATATTTACATTATACAACACTTCTGCATTCGTGTTTAGACTATACATAGAACTGCCTAATACAAAAGTTATGACAGTATAATATACTTATAAATTAGTTACAAATTACATATCGTTCGTTTATAAATGTGGAAGTCTCGGTCTTCGAGTACCCGGAGTGATAAATTAGAAAACTTAAGTAGTTATCTATGCCTAATATATAAAAATAATATTATCGTTGTATTATATAGGTATATATAGTTTAACAAACATACAACACAACGATTGAAAATTGATTAAATTTAAATAACTATATATATAAGGATAAGTAATTAAAACATTAAAAAAAAAAAACAAGAATAAAGTTCTTCTCGGACAAAAAAGTAGCACCACCGGCCGCAGTCATGTTTAGTGACTAGAGAGCCTCCTCCGGAGCGCGAAATACGTGAGGAACCTGAACAGCAAAAGCATGACGAACAACTTGATGATCTCGAAGTATGGATGTTTCCTGTCCACGTTCAGGTAGTAAATTATGATATTTGGGTCTTTGAAGTGGCAGTAGCCCGTGTCACAGTGCAGAGGTTCTCTGTTCAACCCAAACACGGTGATGACCAGTCCGATGACTCCGCACCGCAAGAAACTGGCTTGCATAACGAACTCCATGATCCACGGCACCTGGTGCGCGAAGTCGAACCCGTAAATGGCCAGTCCTAAAAACGGCGCTATCAGCATTGGGCCAACTGCGCTGCCGTTCTGTAACGATTATGTTTTTATATAACTATAATATTACTTTATTATCATTAATTATAATTACTAAATTGATATAGTACATAACTTTCATGATATCCCGCATATTATTAATTATTATACGACATCTTATGAAAAAAATCATTGTAAAAATATAAAATTTTTGTATTTTTCTTGAATTACATTGTTTACTTGCAATGCATAACAGTTAAAAAATATAAAAGATGTTCTTTTGTAAAGACTTCAAATTGTGTAAGAAAAACGTTAATATTTTTCGTGAAAATGAGCGTTAGTTGTCAATGAATCACTTTATGTATAGTTCAGTAGTCATTATTCTTCATATACGAGGTAGAGCCGTAGAGATACTTATATGTTTAACAGGGATGGAAAATCCGTGGCACGCAAAAAGGTTTTGTGATGGGCACTCGAAAATTTTTACTACTATATATTACATAATATATATATATAATATTATAGGACCTATAATAACCTAAAATAACCTTTTTATACCAATACATTAATTATACAATCAAATTATAGTATAAGAAAATATAATATTTTTAATATTTTTTTATTGGCACGCTCTAAAAAAGGGTAATTTTGGGCACGCAGTGTTCAAAAGGTTTGCCATCCCTGTTATATAAATATATAATATATATTATACAGATAGGTAACCCAGCTTGTCACTGCACAGTGCACACCGTATAATCTTTGTTAGTATTTTCGGATAATATTGCTCTACTTTCTATAGAAAGAACTGTCGAATTATTTGCTTTTGGTTTACGATTGGATATGATTTTTTTTTCATAACAATACATACCGTCACGTTGAACACAGCACCCACAAGCAGTCCCATGCCCTCGGAGACGAAACAAACCAGTAGACAAATGATATTGAACATCGAAAACCGCAAGAGTTCGTACGGTAGCCCGGACATGAAATATACCAAAGTCGTATAAATACTGCTGAAAAATATCTAAGCGGAAAAAACAAATATCATATTATAGTTATTAGACTTCAATGATGACGTAACACACAATACACATGACATCGATATAAAACGTATATATAGGACCGTGCAAATTAACTATTTTAGTGACTTTAAATTTGAACGACCCCGTTAAAGTATATAGATTCACGATTCACGTTATGTATATATTCATTGTGAGCGTTATAAGAACATTTTTTTTGCTTTATTCATTTATGTTATGTTATTATAGTATTATACTCACAATAGACGGCACTCTTGATAACTGTAGAGCCAAGAAATACGGCCTCAAGCTATACCATCTGTTGAAGTATTCTTGTTTTAGCAGTTTCACTTCGGACGGAACTACAAAGTTAATAACATTATAACAATAGTAATAGCAAACATTGAAATTTGTTATGTAACATTAATATACATTATGATGCACTTATATATTATATTAGTGGAGGGATGCCATCCATCCACTTGGTTTTTCCAAAATAACGTAGGGTCTGCAGAAAAAATGTAATTTAAAATTATTATTATATAATATAATCAATGATCATTTTAGCTTTCATGAAAATGATAATACAAATATTATACTTTCACGCAATACTATTGCACTAAATCATTAATTATTAAGTACCATATGTAGCCCACTTGCCTTAAACAAACCTTAATCGTTACCGCGGTTAAGACTCATTTATGTAATTGTTTTTATATTTTATATTATAATATTTTCTGTATTTCAAAAAGTACTAAATTTCTTTACCACAACTCATAATATTCATAATAGTTATACTAATAAATCATAACACAACTGCGCAGTGGCGTTAATATTAAAAATGATCAGGGGACTTTCAATCCCTTACTAATTTTTTTCATAGCAATATTGTTAAACACTGAAGCAGAAATTCCGGAGTAAATTTTAAAGTATATATACGTATAGGTAGATATACTGTATATCACTTGTGTATTGTATGAGTGGGCTTATTAAAATTGTGAGGGACTGAGCCCTCGGGGATACCCTATGATTATATTAGCACAATTGCACCAATATATATGTACAGGAGTGGATAACAATATACCCAGAAGATGGACGTTGCACGACAAAACTTCTGTCTTATATAAAATGCGGATAAATAATTAACATAATATATATGTAAATATATATATATATATATATATATACGTACATGCGAGCACTTGAACCATCGACTGAGTGAACGTGTGGAAGAGAATATTGCCCATGCAAAATTTCATGTGGTTGAAGAACTGTTCACCGTCGTTTGCCTTGCCGTAAAATACAATGCCTACCGCCAGGCCGCAGATGAGATGATGGTAAAACTGTATGTTTAAACCGATCTGTGGGTGTCCAGGTGAAAGACAAAAACGACGAACAATTTCGTTAGAGTAATAATATTATAACATGCACATATTATGATAACATCACATCGATGATACTTATAGGAAACGGAAATCGTTCCAATT